GGATTGGGCCGTGCAGCGGCATGCCTGGCTTGGCAAATCTTCAGCAAAAAGCCCCCCAGTGAAGCCTCAGATGTGGGCAGTCCTTAGTCTGCTAGTTGCATGCCTGTGGTTTCTTGAAAAGAATCCTGATATGACCTGTTTTTCTGCCTACTTAGGACTGCCAGAGTTTTTCTCAAAGGTGCTTTTCATTTTAACTAGGAGACTAGCACTCACTGCTGCCTGAAAATGTGTTATAGCTTGTACAGGGTTTAGGTTTTATAGCTGCCAACATTTTACAGTTATTTCTAGGGACACTTTGCTACTGAAGCAAGCATGTGTAAGCAGTCTGTTTAGGACAGTGTGTTTAAAGACTGAAGAGCTATAAGTTGGAGGATGACTACAAATAATAATGCTGTTCCTATTTAAGAACCTACAAGAGAAAAACAGGAATGAGAATAGACAAGGGGTAGGAAACCCTGACACTCCAGCTGTTGTGCAACTACAAGTCCCACAAGGCTTTGCAAGACTGACAGCCACAAGCATGACTCCTAGGGGCAGAAGCATGATGGGATTTGTAGTTTCACCACAGGTGGGATGCTAAGGTTGCCTAGAATAGGCATCCAGACAATGTTTCTCTGTGATTGAAGGGTGTGGAGACATCAGGCCATTGTCAGTACTGTGACCACTGATACTTACATGCACCCTGCTTTTCGGTCAGAGCCCTCAGAATTTCCATGTATGGGTGAGGAACAAGCGCAAGAGTATGGCTGAGTTTATGAAGTGAAAGTTTAAATGTCCAATAGTATGGCTGAGTATTGGAAGTAAAAGTCTCAATGCCCAAAGGAATGGCTGAGGTTATGGAAGTAAAAGTCTCAAAGGCCAGGAGGGAAGTAAAAGTCTCAATGGCCAAGAGAATGGCTGAGATTATGGAAGTAAAAGTTTCAATGGTCAAGAGAATGGCTGAGATTATGGAAATAAAAGTCTCAATGGCCAAGATAATGGCTGACGTTATGGAAGTAAAAGTCTCAATGGCCAAGAGAATGGCTGAGGTTATGGAAGTAAAAGTCTCAATGGCCAAGATAATGGCTGAGGTTATGGAAGTAAAAGTCTCAATGGCCAAGAGAATGGCTGAGGTTATGGAAGTAAAAGTTTCAATGGCCAAGAGAATGGCTGACGTTATGGAAGTAAAAGTCTAAATGGCCAAGATAATGGCTGAGGTTAAGGAAGTAAAAGTTTCAATGGCCAAGAGAATGGCTGAGGTTATGGAAGTAAAAGTCTCAATGGCCAAGGGAATGGCTGACGTTATGGAAGTAAAAGTCTCAATGGCCAAGATAATGGCTGAGGTAGTAAATTGGCAGCAGTCATTGTTCAGCCAAAGATTTTCCGTCCGGCTCCTTTGGAAAAAATCGGCAGGGCCCCAAGCTGCTCGAATTTCGGCCAATTCCTGTGAATGGCCAGCATTACTAGAATGAGTAAAGTCATTTATTGGTGATCCTGTAGAAAAAACAAACAGTCATATATATAGTATAACACTAGCTTTCACTAGAGCCACAAAGGTTGGGTTGTTTTGTTTTCATAGAGATCATGGAGACCTTGCCTGCATGTGATCGACAGTATTTCCATAGGTTAATGAATTATTATCACTATCTTCTCACATACTGTTAAAGAGTCCAGGTCCCATATATGCGTCAAGATGCATGGCTTCCGACTACATACACGTCACCAAAAATTTGTTGCACATGCCTGATTGAATCGCCCCCTTTGTATATTTTCGTACCAACCTTTTTTTATAAAAAGTTTTAATTAAGTGCTAATTATTAAGTGCAGTAACCCATAGTAACCACCCAGAATTCAGCTTGCTAAAACCCGACTGGTACAAGTAGCTCCTGATTGGTTGCTATGGGTTGCTGCATTTAAGAATGCAAACTCTTTACTGACAAAGGATGAATATGTTTGAAGACAGTTTTAAATACATTGTAGTCCAGGTCATATATATAAGCAGTATTGATACTCGGGCGAATCTATTCTTTACACTGTCATTGCAAGGTCAATAGCACAGCTATCACTGAGTCTGTTAATCCCATCAGATTTCATGGCCTCTCTCTTACTGCTGAGGTCTGGATCAGGCTGCCATAGTTATTATAACCTCCTGACTTCAAAGACAGAGTAGAGTAGGAATGGTTTAAAGACAGCATAGCTGTATTTCTCTTGGTGCAGCAGACATTCCTGGCTCCTAATCGGCAGCAGCTCTGAATCACGGCTCTTGTATCGGGCTGTTGTGAACCAACGGCTTGGCGCCTCCGGGACATTCCTCAACAGGAAGCCCAATGTTTTCATGTTAGGCTGAGAGGAAAACCTTCCCAGGAAGAGCAACCTGGACCAAACCCTTTGAACATCTGGGATGAAAAGGCTAAAAGTAAATAAGATCTGTGGGGTGCTCTCACTAGCATTGCTGTGCAGTTTGCTTGGATAGCTCTTAACCCTTTCTGAGACATCGGTTATCCTTGAACAGGACATTCAAACATTGCTGTCATTTTGTAAAGCACAGATGATTGGCTTTTTTTTAAAATGAGGGCATAAAAAGATACAAATATTTTGTCTGCACATATAATAGGCATTATCGCCTATATTTGTTTACTGTTGATCCATTTGGAGTTAAAATAGAAATGAAGCCAAAACTTCTTTTTTTTAGTTTTAGATAGAGTGGAGAGGGATTAGAACACTTGTCAGGTTTTTATTGCTGTCTGTGTCTCCGTTAGAGAGATTCACCCTCTCCTGTCCTGGTGACCATTATCACTGAGACTAAAAGTTAAAGAAAAGACCAAATTTTGAATAGAGGTGAAATCTTCTAATGGGGACACTAATTCTGGTGACCCTGCTGACCACCAAGGATTACCCTCTTTTTGGAGATATTTCCTCTCACTTCCTATTGTGGCTATGAGCGCTGCGCTAGACTTTCACCCACATGTAATACTGGGAGAAGAAGCCAGTACTCAATATGGCAAGACACTGTATATCTTACTGTACTCTAGTATGATTATTGTGCCCAAAGTTGGGCTTTAAAGAAATCCAGGAAAACCAAAAACTTACCCTTGCAGTGAGGCTACCCACGCAGGGTTTTAGTGCTTGTTTTGTCCAGGGGGTTAATTAAAGCAGATGTACTCACCTGATCCTCATTCATGGTGGTTGGCACTCACCTCTCTCCCCCTCCACTCCGACTATGAAATGCCCCCCAGTGTCCTCACGTCTAATGCAGGTCGATGGACCCGCATAAGATACGATGATTTTAGTAATACTTAGACCAGCAGAGCCAAGGGAAGAGGCTGTGGGGACCAGTTTTGCAGCCCGACAAGACTGAGGATCAGGTAAGTAAATCTGCTTTATTTGAGCCCCCTAGACGAAAATGAGCACTTAACCCTTGCAGTGTGGGGGTTGCCCCCCTGCAAGGGTAATTTTTTCCTTTACCCAGAGTTCTTCTTTAAAACCTGTCAGTTGTTGTTGTTTTTTTTTTTCATTTGGTAAGTTTTCCTTCACTTCCTGTCTCAAAGAAACAACAGGGAGGAAATCACACCAAAGTGAGGGGAATTTCCATCTTATATAGTTGTCAGTGGAACAGGTGTCCACTTGGAAGATTTCTGTGCATTTCCCGTTCCTATGACAGCTGTAAAATGTTTGGTTTCCTCTCGTTTTCAGCCTAGTGACAATGCTCACCAGGACAAACAGAGAAAGTAAAGCTTCCCAGTGAGGACAGCAGTAACAAATGTTCTAACTCTTCCACACTTGATCCAATACCTGAAAAAATGGCTTTGGGTCTGCATGAAAGTTGAACTAATAAATATGCAAAAGGAATAAAGTTCCACCTGCTGGATCTAAAAAGCACATATAAATGTATCTGGGTTAAAAACAGAAAGGTGTTTAACACTAAACATAATACATACACGATATAAAATATAATGCAATAATATAATACAATATAAAATATATAGATTGTTTTTCTCAACATTAAAAACCTGATAGGTCTTCTAATTAATGCAATAATATAATACAATATAAAATATATAGATTGTTTTTATCAACAGTAAAAACCTGATAGGTCTTCTAATACGTTCCCTTTTGGTAAATTCAAGCTTCTCAATAGGCGGTGATTGAGTTAGATATCCCTCCAGGACATCTTGTATGATTTAAGGCTTCCTGTATCTGACCTATTCAGTGTATTAAAAATGAACAGAACTTCACGAATATGTATTGAGGTTTCTGCCATAGTTTAAATATTTATTTTGCATAGCATTGACCGTGGTCTGTACCATCCATAAAAACACAGCTACAGGCTGAGTTGCCAAGATGTCACAAAAGAATTCTGAGATAGATTTTCTGAAAAAAACTATTTCTTTTTTTTTAAATTCAGAATGCAACTAGATGGCAAGTAGATTCTTTACTAACTCTATAATATAATATAATACTCTATATAATAACTCTTATAGTGCAATCTATAATTCTTTGTATGGGTTGTTATTGTGCTGCTTATATTTAAATGTGCGATATAGCCAGCATTAGTAATAACGGGATGGAAATGCTTGTAAAAGTATTTCAGGGATATTAGTCCTGAAGTTTAAAGTGAACCTGTGGTTTGTCCATAAAGGGCTTATTTTTCTTTCTTTTCACCTGGTGATCCTACCAATAACACCCTTCCTGTCCTAGGATTACAATGCCCTGTCACTGTATTGTGAAAGCGTGTTGGGACAACATAGGAGCAGGCGTTCTGTAGTCCACAGAAGTGAACTGAACAGGGTTGGTTACTGATAATTGCAGCACAGGCAGGGAGCACAGGAAGTTAGGAGCACACTGAATTTCTGGCAGGGTCAAGAGGTATTGTTCTGTATTTGCAATTTTAAAAAAAAGCCAAAACATGTTGAAGAAACTTACTAAATATTTTTATGCTCAGACATACACTTTGTTAGGTAGTAGTAGCTAAACAAACATATCTATACCAAACCATGATCATGTTTTCTTTTATTTGACAGGTGGAAAAAAGAATTCATTCTCAGCGTGCAAAGCAAAGGCAGCCACAACAACAGGAGGACTTCTGGAGATGGAAGCTTGTTAAACGTCTTCGGCTTCCTTACAACCACCACATTTCCCCTAAGGAGTCCTTCAATGACATTTTATGCCACTGCTAGAGACACTGTACCGTATAGACAATCACTGCCGGAGGTTTGGCACCACTGGTACCACGGGCCTTCATGTAATGCAGCTATGTCCCTTAGAGATAGAAAATGGAGGAATCATTAGGACATGTTGTAATCCAAAGTTTTCATACTTCCTACCTGCAGCGTTCAGTGCATACGTGAAGCTCCTAAACCAGACACAGACCAAACAGTGCTAATTTTGGACATAAAACATGGACAAGACAAACCTCTTTTATTTAAAAATGGAGCAAAAGGATCAAAATTTGTGTTTTTGTTTCTTTTTTTTTTATCATTGTTTTGTTTATTCTCCATAAAACTTGAATGCTTTTATATATCAGATTTAGGGTTGATTGATGTATATTTTATTAGTCAGGGTATAAACTAAGCCCTTTCCCTTTTCCTGCAAAAATATTTTTTTTGTTTCGCAGATATATGGCTTTTTTATTCCTTCTTTTCCCCCATTCTGTTCGGGTTGATTAAGCAGCCTTCCACATTTCAATGGTTGAAAGTGCGGGAATTCTTGTCCGAAACTATGGCCACTAAGGGACCTGTTTGAGATGACATCCACTTTGTATCTTGGAAGCTTCCACTAATGTTGAGTGGAAACAAGTTAAAGGAAACAAAGTTTATTATAAAGAATAAGTGCGGTATATGTGTTTTCTTAAAGTTATAAAAGTAAAAAAGGCCTAAAACCCTGATCATTTTGTATACCTACCCCTTCTTGGCCAAGGAACATGGGAGGTCTATTTAATCAAGACATGATGTGTTTACCAAGTCATCTTTTAGACTCATGGCTGACTTTCAAGTGAAACTAGGTTCTTCTAGTTTATTTTTATTGCCCTATTGGATCATTTTGTGCAGTAAGGTGGATCTGAGTGCCATAATTCATAAATCCGTATGGATAGCTTTACACCTTTTATTGGCAGATTTTCTCCACCAACTAGTCTTGCCTGCAACTAAGCGATTCTTTATTTTCACATAATCTCAGTGTTTCTTCCATTTGTGTCATCAAATACCTATAATTTCATATAAACTTAATTTGTTAGGGAGGCTTTCATAGTCGTACATTTGGCCTATTTGGAAACATCTCCCATACGTCCCAAGGAAAAGGTGATACAGTTTTGAGTATTCGCTTTCCACATGTTGTGAAAAAAAGAAGCCCAGCACTTGGATTCATTGTAACAATGTAAATTGTTCTGTATTGTATTTGTATTATTTTCTTCTGCTATCCTATAGTGGGATTTGATGCCAGTTGTTGGGAAATAAAGCATTGTGATGTCTCCCTCTTACTGATGGCAAAGTTCAGGCTTTGCAGAAAGAAAACTGTCAGTTTGTTTTTTTCTTTTGTCATTCCAATTTGAGTTAATGTGCTGAGCATATGTTTTTAAAAAAAAAAAAGCTTTGTAATAAAACAGAAAAAATATTATACTATTTGTTGCTACAGAATTATCAAGTGTCATCTTCTTTGCGTTATAAGACATTATTATTGCAGAATGTACATTTTGTGATGTAATCAACTATTGTTGCCCATGGGATCATAATTCATAAATCAGCATTCAGAAGTGTTTTCTTTCAAAATAGTAAGTATGCCATGTGTGAACTGGGGTACACACTAGAAAATATTTTAGTCACAAGAATTTTGTACTAACGCATGTTGCAATCACAAAGGCACAAATAACAAAACTCAGCATGCACCTTTTAGTCCACTGTTTGTGGGGTCTGCTGCTTTATGAGTTTAATGATGGTAAGGGATGGTGTATGGAGCACTGCGCAAATTGTTGGCGCTATATAAATTAGGGTTGCACAGATACCAAGTACAGTACTCGGTACAAGTACGAGTACATGTACCGATACTTTTGAGCTCCAAGACTAGACTAGAGAAAAATTAAAATGTTAGGAGGCAGCTGCCATTTGTAAGGAGCACACGGAGCTCCTGGGATTAGTACATCTCTGTTTTAATATATGATTTTGTTTTTATAAATATAAATAAAGGGATGCACCGATACCAGTTTTGCGAGTACTGGTACTTGCCGAGTACTTACAAGTACGAGTACAATACATTTTTGTTTATTGTCATGTGACAGTTTTTTTAAAACAATACAGACTAATGATTTCAGGACAGTGGTGGAGCGCCAGAGCCAGGTCCCCGCTGCAACCGCTACAACCCTGGTAGTTCTCATGAAAATGCCATGTATCTGCACTGGTACCCGAACTGTATCTGTGCATCCCTAATATAAACCCTGTATAATAATAATATTAATAAAGGAGCACAGAAAAAACCCAAACATAGTAATGGCACCCATAACAACCAGTCACATATTTTCCTTTACTAGACAATTCTCGGCAGCTATGGAAAATGCCTTCACTGTGCTACAGCTGTACCATGACTCAAAATTCTGCAATTTAAATTGAACCCCTAGTGATCTCCTATTATTATAACTGACCAATAAACTAAAAATTCACATTGAAGTGGTGAACCAGTCAACGCATTCAAACAGAATAATGATCACATGGAAATTTATACGGATAGAATATGGAGGTTGATGTTGCAAATTTGTTGACTTAAATGCTGATCCAATAGCCTTCGCATTTTCTGAGGCCTTGACCTGGAATTAAAACACAGATTTGTTCTAACTTTCTACCTGCTTGCTTTATCCAGATCAGTAACTTGAAGAGTATCAAAGCCAGACATAACCAGGCAGCTAATTTTTATAGAAGGAGGTTAGTACTAGTAGCAAATCTTCATTACTCAGTAGAGGTTTCCTTTAAAGTGTGGGGGGGGGGGAAACAAAACCAGAAAAAAACTAACCTTCGAGGAAAACAATTTTATACACACCAGTCTGTTGGCCCGTTTGCTAAAGCACAGCTTTCGGCTGAGATTTAATTAGACTTCTCGGGCTCACTGCTGTGGTTCGTGCTGCTGGTCACTAGTCACTGCAGTGATGTGGGGTTCATTGGAAGAAACCACGTCAGTCAAAGGGGCACACACTAATTTACCCTCCTTAAAGAGTCAAATCACACTTCTTTAGCAAACAAGCCAAAGGATAAGTATGCATAAAGTTGATTTACAGGATAGCTATTATGGGTCTATGCTGATCCCCTGACAGTGACTTTAAAGTGAACCTACGGTGAAGATGAATAAAATAAACTGCCATCAGGCATTATAGCTTTAGTTATCTTCTAGAGTGTTAAAAACCTGTAATCACAGGGTAGTCGGTTATAAGTTGGCATCCCCCCCACCGACTCTTTGCTATTTTCCCTTTAACTGACATACAGTGTGACATTGAAGATGGGAGGGGGATATGGCAAAGTGCCAACTTCTGACACTATGTTGTTATATTCATAAAACTAAAGATGTTCTTTAAAAAAAGCAAACATATTTACTGTGAAATGTACCTTAAAGGAGAACTATGAGATGAGTGATTTCCACTCACCTCATAGTTCTAGCCGACCTGTAACAATGAGACTGTCACAGGTCGGCTCAGTAGATCGGGAGACTGTCACAGGTCGGCTCAGTAGACACATACCGGGTTCGCTCACCTCTCGATCCTCTCACGGCTCCCTGCTGTGACAGGGGGAGGGGCTGGATTCCCCTCTCCCCGCTCCGATCTGCCAGCGCTGACTGGCGGAACGGACGGAGGAGGGGGCGGTTACAGCTGGCTCTGCCTCTAGATAGGCAGAGCCAGCTGTCACTCAAGCAGCTGGGCGGATGCCGACGTCCATGTCGGGACGGCTGCGGCGTCTTAGGGTAACGGGAGGACGCTAGTTTGTGTCCTCCCGTTACCCTAAGGAGAACTATGGGGAAAAACACTGACCCCATAGTTCTCCTTTAATCCATTATGTTAATCAATATTGCTGATTTAATCTAAACATTGCATGTACAGGATTACAACTCCTTTATCATGTAAGACAATTCACATACAGTATGTGTAGTTTAGTTGTTTTCCTGGAGTACAGTTTTATTGATACATTTATTTTGATATACTCAGCACACAATAGGAGACTGCCCTGTTAAAAAAAGGGGTCTTATACTGTATCTTGGTATGTCAATAGGGGTTTAATTACTAACAAGTCCCCATTTTCTGGTGAGGCCAAAATTCAAAATCCCTCAATTTTTGAAGGTTGCTTAGATGCTCTAAGATTTAGCATTGCAATAATATAGGCCCACATTGAAGTAAAGATAGAAGGGTTCACGTATCAAAAAGCTGGCGCAATGAAGGCATTTGTATTAAGAACAAATTTGCCACCCACCCCATGCCATTTGAGCATTTGGTTTATGTACCCAATGGCTGAATCATCAGGGTTTTTCTCTATTAAAATATAACCACTTTTATCAGAAATCCACAGAACCCATCTTTTTTTTCCCTCTAGAGGCAAATAAACACATGTGCCTGTATCCTATTATATATGTCTATGTTTCCTCAAGATAAGAGTGAAGCTAGTGGCTAATACAGTATCTATGTTCACAGCACAAGTCCCTGCATTAACTGTTTTCTTGGAGAAATGAAAAACTGTCATGCCCAAAAACAATTTCCAGTTAGAGACATTTTTACGGGTCTTTGGTCCCCAGAGACCTCCCAGTTGATATGTTTATTTTAGCAGGATAGAACACTGATCATCTAATATATGCAGATATATTTAACCCTAAACCTCAACATTATAAATCCCATTACCCCTACTCTTGTAATCCCTGTCTCATAATTCCTGTGCTCTCAGTAGAAACACAACGCAAAGGATCAAAAGAACAGTGTTCCTTCAGAATAGCACCTAATGGGGTTGAGGCGAGTCATATTGCAGACTTTGCTGATAGCTGTATTCATTATGTGTGGTTACTGGCCACTTCAACAGAGATCTCACTCCAACAAGAATGAAGGCAAGAAGGTATGTAACAGTAATATCCATAACCACTTTTTCCAAAACACTGAAATGATATCTTAAGCAGGCAGAGTAACACCTAATAACACACAGCTCATGTGACCCAAAATGAGGCTCTTAGAAGACTAAACATTACAAATGTATGTCATCTTTTACCGGATATCCAGAAAACGTATGTAGAAAGGAAAACAGGCCTCTAGCTACAAACTGCAGAGTAGGAACACTCTGTGGTTAAGAGAACTGGCAATGATTCCTCTTGCCAACTCATTGACTGTCAGATGATAACCACAGTTTTTAAATAAAAGAAGGCTTCGGAAACAGGACAGAAAACTGCAAGCCACTTGAGGTCCAAAACAAGCAGAGAACATTGACTGGAAATGAAAATGCTTTGCTTATATTCACTTGGCATGGAAATGGCTGACCAAGTTAAAAAAACGCACTCCTCCTGCTAAAACAAACAGCTATCCGACTACTAAATATAGAGCCTGACCACAAATGCATGATACAGTCACATGGGCCACTTAGTAGGTGTCCAAGATATACAGATCTATACTAAATGTAATTTGGATGTAACATGCGCAATAAATAAACATGTGCAGAACAGGTGTCACTTACTAGCCTTATTACCCAGTCAACATCTAAGGTCACCCTTCTCACATTTGTATTTACTTGTCTTACCTCCATCACACAATCATTAACATCGCTATGTCCTTGTCTGCACAACAGCTCCCCCCACCACATGTGTACAGAACACAATGGATGCTGCACTTATGTGATTGTACCTGGCAGTAATGAAAATTGAAGCTCACAGCAGAAAGGAAAAGCATGCAGTGACATTTGAAGACTTTAATATGTATAGACCATCACACAGAACACCAGCATCAGGGAACATTGTAGTTAAAGTGTATATATAGTCAACAATTGTTTTTATACTTTAAGATAAAGTAGATAAGTGTTAAATCCCCCGGCAGCTTTTTTTTTGCTGCATGAGACTCAACGGGAGATCAGAGGAAATGCCACCAAAGTAAGGGGAGGGTAGCACAGTAGTTTAGTGGGTAGCACTCCTGCCTTGCAGCACAGGGGGGTACCTGGTTCAAATCTTGGTTCGGACACCCCCTGCAAGGAGTTTGCTTGTTTTCCCTGTGCTTGCATGGGTTTCCTCCCACACTCCAAAGACCAGTTATATCCAGGGCCGGATTTACTCTCTCAAATGCCCTAAGGCATGGTCCCTCCCAGCCAAACCCCCCCCCTCCAATGGAGAGTGGCAACCAGATGGCGGGGGCAGCAGGGTTGGTTTTAATTGTATTTTGTTCTTAATTTTATTTTACTTTTTTATCCATTTTTTCTTTTTTAAATTTGTATTTATTTTTTTATTTTTCATTTTTTTATTTTTCTTATTACCTTTTACTGTTTTATTTTGTTTTAAGTTTTTATTATCTAATTTTTATGTTTATTTATTTTATTATTTTTTACTTTTGATCAGTTTTTATTTTTTTACATTTTTATTTCATTTTTTTCACTTAACTTTATTGCTATCACACAGGAGATAACAAT